TCTGACTCTCTCTCACTAGGTATACACAGACGCCAGGTATTATTATGATCATCAGTGCGTGGGAACCAAAGATATGGGTCGGAAACTAAAATTATAATAGACATACAGATATATAGACATGTACACACAGACATACAGATATACAGACATGTACACACAGACATACAGATACAGACATGTACACACAGACATACAGATACAGACATGCACACAAACATACAGATATAGACATGTACACACACAAACATACAGATATAGACATGTACACACACAGACATACAGATGTACAGACATGTACACACAGACATACAGACAAGCACATAGACTAATTGACGTAATATAAGACAGAAAAATAGGCGAACTAACATGCAGACAACAAACAAGCAGATAGGCGGATGGGTAAACTGACAGAGGAACAATGACAGGAAGCAATTAATGTTTACCCAGACAAGTGATCTTTTCAAATCACATCACGATCAATGCAAACAGAAGCAAACAACACGGCTAATACGAAGCAGACACGTACATACATACATACATACATACATACATACATACATACATACATACATACATACATACATAAATATATAAGGGAATAATGAAGAGATGAAACAAAAACATAAACAAGACAGGTGAGAAAGTGGATATTAATGAAGCAATACAACAGGTAGAGGACATCAGGTAAAACATGTGAAAGTTGTGTGTGTGTGTGTGTGTGTGTGTGTGTTCTCTCTCCCCTTCGTCAGCTGGTGGGGTGTGGTGGGTGTGTGTGTGGTGAAGTGTGGTGGTGATAGAGTGTGGTATGGTGGTATTGATGATAGTGGTAGTGGTGGTGGTAGTAGGTGGTGGTGGTGGTGATAGTTATACAAGGTGATAATTATGGTGGTGGTAGTAACGTGTCATGCCTCAGTACTCGTCATATATATAAACACAAAATCAATTACTATTAGACAAACACACGTACAGATTCGTCATAGGAAAGACTTAACCAGGTGTTCTTAACGATATAATATGTAGGTATTCTCCCTACCCTACCCTACCCTACCCTACCCTACCCTACCCTACCCTACCCTACCCTACCCTACCCTACCTTACCCCACCCCACCATCTGAAATTGCTGGAATACTTAAGAGTTTGATCGTCGTGGCAAATACTAATACGGTATCAAGAATCGTGAGCACTAGAGGAGGTTCAGTGTTACTTTCACTCTGGGAATCTGGAACTTCTAATGCAATAAATAAATAAATAAATAAATATTCGTATCAAAAGTCATTTTTCCTTGTTACCTACAGAGAGAGAATTACTGCTGTGTCATTTAACCTAACCTAGCCTAACCTAACCTAACCTAACCTAACCTGCCACACATAGCTCGACCTTTTTCCGTGATGGGTAAAAAATGCAGTGTTTATAAATTCTTTGATGTTTATGTTTACAATCCTTTCAGGGACTGTAAATATAAACATCAAGGGACTGTAAATATAAACACCAAGGGATTGTAAATATAAACATCAAGGGACTTTATAAACACCACATAAAGGTAAAATTGTAAACAAATGTTTATACCATCTACAATTACCGTACAACAAACATTCATGTCTTTAAATCATTGTATCTATAGATTTTTCCAGTAATTTGAGAGTCAATGGCAGAACACATCTCACAGCCTGTTTGTGTGTTAGTAATATATAGTGTAAGCTCTCAGTGTTATATCATGTTAAATATTTCATTCTATATAGATGGATTGGAGTAGGATTCACACGCCACAACAGTGAGCAGGAAGTGTAGACTGAGGTAAGAAGGATAGATGTGGTGAGGCATAGTAGAAGAGGAGGAGGGGAAGAAGAAGAGGAAGAAGAAGGAGAAGGAGAAGAAGAAGAAGGAGAAGAAGAAGAAGAAGACAAAAAATTAGATAAGAGACATGCTGTTGAAAAGGACCAGTCATCTATAGGCGAAACAACCCTTGACCTAAACTAACCACTAACAGGATACACCAGATCAAAATATCACAACACATCAATTACCAGCAAGGAAAGCGAAAACAAAGTGGAGGAAAAAAATCTTTAAACAAATTCTTTAGTCTCCCTCGAAATATGTAATTATTAAGAGAAAACGTAACATATCCCATTCTCACTTAAGAATGTGTGTGTGTGTGTGAGGTATGAGGTGTGAGGTATGAGGTGTGAGGTATGAGGTGTGAGGTGTGAGGTATGAGGTGTGAGGTGTGAGGTATGAGGTGTGAGGTATGAGGTATGAAGTGTGAAGTGTGAGGTATGAGGTGGTGTGAGGTATGAGGTGTGAGGTATGAGGTATGAGGTGTGAGGTATGAGGTATGAAGTGTGAAGTGTGAGGTATGAGGTGGTGTGAGGTATGAGGTGTGAGGTATGAGGTGTGGGTGGAGGCATGGGGTGGGTGCTGTGGGTGGGGAGGCTAAATAGTTAGGCATCATCGTCGTATCAACAAGGAAGGGGACCGGTGGTAGAAGCGGTATAGGGGGGACCGGTGGTAGAAGCGGTACCGTTCTTGCCTCACAAGCGAGATGTCACGGGTTCGATTCCCGGGCCGGTGGAAGTTGTTTGGACTTACTTCCTAGCCCCCATTAGTCCCTGTTCACCTAGCAGCAAAGTAGGTACCTGTGGAAAGTTGCGAATTCGTATTCAGGGAGTTGTTGGAGCTTCCAATAACTTGATGACATAAACCATTGACTCTTCAGGCTTCTACGCCCTTAACTCACGCCTCGTCCCACTCTCCTCCCTTCCTTCCCTCCCTCCTCCGTTCCTTCCCTCCCTCCCTCCTCCCTTCCTTCCCTCCCTCCACGTATTAGTAACACCTGGTCCACACACACACACACACACACACACGCTAGGTCCTCCTGCAACGATAATTTGGTCTTGGAAGAGTAGGTCGCCTCTCCGGCTCACTGCTTACTGTCCCTCCTTGTGTACGTGGATATTTAGGCCAGTGTGTTTGTGTTCTTTTTCACTGCCTTCTCTTTCTCGTTTTCCTCATTTACTTTCTCTCTTTCATTCACTTTCTTTGTTTTTACTTACATTATCTTTTTTTCAGTCATTGATTTTCATTGTTTCATTTATTCCCTCTCTCCTCCTCTGTTCCTCTCACTCTCTATGTTCATATTATTAAATCTCACTCTCTTTGTTTTTCTCACTCACTCTCTGTTCCATTCACCCTTTCTCCATCTCACTCATTCACTCTCTCAACTCCATTCAACCCCCCTCTCTGTAGTCACACTGCCTCATAACACCTCTCTCTACCCCCACACAACACAAGGATAACCCCTACTTCAGCCACACCTAAAGATTCTGTCTGTAACCCCCCCCCCAAGCTATAAGAATCCAACCCTTCCCTAATACGCGGAGAGCAATCAGAGTTAACGTGGATGACAGCGCTACGATATCAGATTCATAATTCAAATACAGAGAAAAAATATATTAAGGGTAAAGATAATATAGTTCGTGATGCGTTCTGATCTCTTCTCTTGTGAGTATGGGAAGAATTGTGTTGACAGTCATTGAAGGATACAAGAGGCCAGGGAAGCAGGAGAACCACACCACTACCATGGATTGATGTTATAATGTATCACTGATCTTCAACAATTATAAGGTCTTTTAAGAGTGTGTTCTTGGTTAGTCAATACACTGGTTGTCAATGGTTTAAAATAAAAAATGATGTAACTCTATCAACATGGGAAATATAGCTATACATATTTACTGTACAGAGCAGAAGTTTATAAATTATGGAACATATTTGAGGTTTGTGGTGAGAATGTGGTAATTTTTCACCTAAAAGAGTGTGAATATATAGTTTTTATTCCTTAAATTTATTTTCTTTCTTCCACCAGTGACCGACCACTGCCAGCTGGACCTGTGGTGTGCTCCTCACTGCGGTACTCTGGCGCCTCTCATGATCACACCTGAGGAAGGCGTCAGCGTGTGTCAGAACTGTCGTGTTTTGGTTGTAAATTTTTGTCTTGTAAAATGATCTTAATTACCAATGTTTCCCTAACATAATGTATGCACGAAACTCACAACTTGGGGAGTTGATGTGGTATTGTTATCACCATGATGTGTGGTGTCAGGCCCTACAGAACACTACAGTATATACTATACATTTGGTTACACAAGGAGGTGGTGTGGCTGGCACTGTGTCCGACCGCCTTCACCTCCCAAACTGTAAAATTAGGTACCCATTCACAGCTGGCTACACTGGGTAGGAACCAATGACTCTCAGGACAGGAGGCGAGCGCTGTATCTAGTCGGCCACTGCATCTAAATGTAAACTAATTTAAGCCGTGATATCGTGAGCAGGAGCGGTGTGTTCTATCAGCCGTGCAGCAATAACTCCTGTGTGGCGTTTGGTTGTCATACGCCAGAGAGAACTTTACCTAATATGCAGAAACCATTTGTCTACACACAGACGGAAACCACCGTGACTAGATCCCTTTTCCTAATTGTTTACGGTCGGAGAATACAAATTTGACTATTTACATTCAGAGACCGTGTTAGAGTACTTAGGATCTTAGATAAACACCATTACCAATATTGTAGGGGGGGGGGGCTCTAGGTAGGTTATCAGGTGCGAGGGGCTTCATTATAAGGCAGGGCTGGGCTGGGCAGGGCTGGGCTGGGCAGGGCTGGGCTGGGTGGGTCTACCATGTGTATGTGTGTGTAGAAAGTCGCCCTTGAAACTTGGAGTGTTTCTCCTGGAGCGGGCAAAAAGCGGGACATCCTCCTGCGCCAGTCAACGCAGTCGCTAACAATAGCGTACAGCCTCAACTCCCACCGCTCAACTTTCATTGAGTGGTCCTCTACTTCTCTCACTTACAGACTGATTTCAGACGGCGCTGAGAAACTTAAACTTCTTAGAAACAATAAAGCCTATTTTCTGCCTGACAGTACGGTCGAAAGCCTGCTTGTTCTACACAAGTAACACGTTCTTACAGAGGTCTATGGAAAGGAGAATGTTGTGCTGACTTTCTGAGTGTCAGTGTTGGCGGTGGTGGGAGGCAGCAGGCGACGCGGCAGCAGTTGTTCCCTGGCCACGGTGGGAGAAACACTGTGTTTTCTCCTGCTCTCTCGCGTTCGGCTGACTCACTCACACTACTACTGACACACTTATACAACTCTCCGAGCTTTCTGCTGACTTACACATTGTCTCTCCACCACCAATGTTATGTCGCAGCGGTTACTTGCCAAGACTCCGCTCAGTGAGAACTACTAAGTAAATACCCTGGATACAATACTGAGGTGACAAGCCAATTATTAAGTTGGACACCAGTCTTGAAACTTACAGGGCATGTGTATGGAAAGCTGTTGTGTGAAGTAGTGACGCTGCTCAGAGGAAACACGGTTATTATTGGCTACAAGATATAGTGACCAATAACCTAGTTAGGGAAGATAAGAGAGATTTAGTGACTGAGTGGAACTGCCCGTGTGACTGTGACAAGAAGTTAAGACACTACTAAGGAGTTACGCTTCCCCCGACGGACGGACCGACGAACGGACGGACGGACGGACGGAAGCACCCTACCCGGCACTCTCCCAGGCCGGAACCATATGATGACAACGGCTCTACAACCCTAAGTCACTCACCGCTACAAATAAAGGTACGTACTGCATTATACCCTTGTCCCTGATGCCCCCTGGTCCCTCCCATGCCCCACCATGTCCAACCCTCACATGACATACCATCTGGTACTACAAGAATGTATAACGAGAGTCTCAGCGTAAATCTGACGCCATTTTGAACCGAAGTGAACCAATTAAATGTATAAGGGTTAACATGATAGAATACACCCTTAGAGTATAACCAAGTATAAGGGTTAACATGATAGAATACACCCTTAGAGTATAGCCAAGTATAAGGGTTAACATGATACAATGCACCCTTAGAGTATAACCAAGTATAAGGGTTAACATGATAGAATACATCACAGGATAACACGCAAAATACCGGTATATCTACAAGGTTAACAGGCTAGATTATACCCTGATAGACACAGTATAATCTAGTGCAAATATATCTCAAGGACAACAGGACTGATTATACCTTCATAGTATAGGTTAGGTTAGGTTGGGTAAGGTTAGGTTAGGCTAGGTAGGGTTAGGTTAGGTCTTGGTTAGGTTGGGTTAGGTTGGGTTAGGCTAGGTTGGGTTAGGTTAGGTCTTGGTTAGGTTGGGTTAGGTTGGGTTAGGCTAGGTTGGGTTAGGTTAGGTCTTGGTTAGGTTGGGTTAGGTTTGGTTAGGTTTGGTTAGGTTAAGGTTAGGTTAAGGTTAGGTTGGATCAGTATCTGTGGATGAAGGCGTTGAAGTCTCCTCCTCCAGTTGTAAGAGAGTGGAGCTTATGAATGGAGTGGGGGGTTGGTAAGTGGAGTGGGGAGATTATAAGTAGAGTGGTGGGAGGATTTATAAATGGAGTGGGGAGTTTATATGTGGAGGCGTCACGTGTTGTTACAAGTGGGTCACCAGAATGTAACCAATTTCTTCTTTTTTATCATTCTTTCTTTTTTTTCCTCTTCTATCATTCTCTTTATTCATTCTTCTCCATCATTCTTGTTCTTCCGGTTATCATTCAGTTTCCTGTTTCTCCTCCATTTCCTGTGTTTGTTTTTTTGTCTTCTGTCCTTCCTACTCATTCACTTTCCCTCTTGTAACCCTCTCCTCTTCTTCCTGTTCCTCTCTTTCATTCCTCCTCTTCCTCTTTCGTTCTCTCATTTTTTCCCTCTTCTTCATCGTCTATTCCTTCTCCTCCTCCCTTTCTACTTCTCCTCCTTCTCTTCCTCTTCATCCTCCACTTCTTCCCTCCCCTCCTTCTCTTCCACTTTCCCTTCTCTCCTTTTACTCAGTTACTTCATGTTGCGTTAGTAAGCTCTATGAGTGCCAGACCTGACTGACTGACTTAAGAGACATCCCCTCAGCCATTATATAAAACACTTAACCAAACTTTAAGACAATTTGACGCTGGTTTTTAAATTATCGTAAGTTAAATTTTTCTCGTAACTCTGAAAACAATCTGATTCCTTTAAGCCACAAAACCTGTAGTAAATACTCTCAAAATGTCACCAAAAAGGCTCTGAGACTACAAGATACATAGATACATTCCTTTATTTACTATTTAAGGTGAAAAATGAATAAACTTACGAGTTTTTTTTAGAATATTTATTTTTTTTTATTTTTTTTATTTGAAAGATTCTGTATAAGTATCTAGTTAAGGAAGAGTCTCTGTGTAGTTTTAATGCCATTTTGGATAATATTGTATTGTTTAGAAGTCGACCAATGGGATACGTTCTCATACCGTCAGTTACGAAAAAAAATCAACGTAAGATTTTTTTTTAATTGAGATAATTTATTCAGTATTTTGAAATGTTTATAAAAAATCCGGGTTAACTTTTTTTTTACAAAATAACTTACAGGTCCGGGACTTACGGGTCCGGTTAATGACTTACAGGTCCGGTTAATGACTTACAGGTCCGGTTAATAACTTAGGCCGGTTAAATGACTTCAGGTCCGGTTAATGACTTACAGGTCCGGTTAATGACTTACAGGTCCGGTTAATGACTTACAGGTCCGGTTAATGACTTACAGGTCCGGTTAATGACTTACAGGTCCGGTTAATGACTTACAGGTCCGCTAATGACTTACGGGTCCGGTTAAAATCGACTTACGGGTCCGGTTAAATGACTTACGGGTCCGTTAATTGACTTACGGGTCCGGTTAAATGACTTACGGCTAAATGACTTACGGTCCGGTTAAATGACTTACGGGTCCGGTTAAATGACTTACAGGTCCGGTTAATGACTTACGGGTCCGGTTAATGACTTACGGGTCCGGTTAATGACTTACGGGTCCGGTTAAAATGACTTACGGGTCCGTTAATTGACTTACGGGTCCGGTTAATGACTTACGGGTCCGGTTAAATGACAACGGGTCCGTTAATTGACTTACGGGTCCGGTTAAATGACTTTATGGGTCCGGTTGAATGACTTAACTCCCTGGTCCGTTAATTGACTTACGGGTCCGGTTAAATGACTTACGGGTCCGGTTAAATGACTTATGGGTCCGGTTAAATGACTTACGGGTCCGGTTAAATGACTTATGGGTCCGGTTAAATGACTTACGGGTCCGGTTAAATGACTTATGGGTCCGGTTAAATGACTTATGGATCCGGTTAAATAACTTACAAATACGGTTAAATAACGTACGAGTCCGGTTAAATGACTTACAAATCCGGTTAAATGACGTACGAGTCCGGTTAAATGACGTACGAGTCCGGTTAAATGGCTTACGAGTCCGGTTAAATGGCTTACGAGTCCGGTAAACTGGTCCACCGCCTCGCTCAATAAGGGACAACAAGATTCAGGAGCAACATATTTCTTGTCCGCCTTGGCTTGTCCCGTAAGGTAACGGTAATGTCTGTTTAATATAACGGTAATGTCTGTTTAATATAACGGTAATGTCTGTTTAATATAACGGTAATGTCTGTCTGTCTCTGTCTGTCTGTCTGTCTGTCTCTGTCTGTCTGTCTGTCTGTCTCTGTCTGTCTGTCTGTCTGTCTCTGTCTGTCTGTACGAGAAATAAGAAAAAATAAAGGAAGAAAAAAAATAAGAAATTAAAAAAAATAAAAAATACAAGAAAAAAATCAATGAGGTGGCAACAACACAACAACCTAGTGATGACGTCATTACTTCTGACGTCATTAACTCTGACGTCATTACTTCTGACATCATTAACTCTGACGTCATTACTTCTGACGTCATTAACTCTGACGTCATTACTTCTGACGTCATTAACTCTGACGTCATTACTTCTGACGTCATTAACTCTGACGTCATTACTTCTGACGTCATTACTTCTGACGTCATTACTTCTGACGTCATTAACTCTGAGTCTCGTTACAATTACCCAAAAAATAAAAAAATCGATCATTAATTTGCTTTTGTTTTTCTTTCTTCTTTGTGGTATCGTGGGATATCCTGTCTGTGTGTCTGTCTGTGTGTCTGTCTGTGTGTCTGTCTAGTATAAGGTCAAGCGTACAGTGGACAGGATCCTGACCTATACATGTCATCCCAGCAAGGTCACGAAGGTCACAGTCCACCTGGTGTGTGTACCTCTGAACACATATACACACACACACACACACACACACTGGTCGATACAATATTAGTTAGATAAGATAGTAATTAAATAAAAGCTTAAATTTCACGAATTAATTATATATGTCATCTAATGCGCCTTATGGTAATAAGAGTAACTAATTAGGCTCATTATAATGTTATGGTGGATTAACTGCATTACCTTCAGTTAATTGACTATGTGTCTTCAGTAACATCTCTAGCGTTATTATTATTATTATTATTATTATTATTATTATTATTATTATTATTATTCAGATCGACATTGTAATTAATCTTGAAAATTGCCTGAGTATTGAAGATTTTTTTGTCATGCATGTTCTGTGTGTGTCTGTGTATGTATGTATGTATGTATGTATGTATGTATGTATGTATGGGATGAATGATGGGATGAATGATGGGATGAATGATGGAATGAATGATGGGATGAATGATGGGATGAATGATGGGATGAATGATGGGATGAATGATGGATGAAATGATGGATGAATGATGGATGAATGATGGATGAATGATGGATGAATGGTGGGGATGAACAGATGGATGAATGATGGATGAATGATGGATGAATGATGGATGAATGATGGATGAATGATGGATGACAATGATGGATGAAAATGATGGATGAATGATGGGATGAATGATGGGATGAATGATGGGATGAATGATGGGATGAATGATGGGATGAATGATGGGATGAATGACGGGATGAATGATGGGATGAATGATGGGATGAATGATGGGATGAATGATGGGATGAATGATGGGATGAATGATGGGATGAATGAATTGTTATACATTATATACATTTATCTAAATTAATAATGATAATAATAAACAAAATAACTATTATAAAAAACAGTCAAAAGACAGTTTACATAAGGGAAACTTTCTCGTTACAATTAATTAATTATCATCGTAACGGGACACTAATTATTAACATCTTTTACTTCAGTGTCATAAACTTTTTACTTTTACAAAAAATATATACAATTCACACTAAATTATCACCCTAATAATTTGTCATCTCATTGATATCACACATAACATGATAATATACTTGTATCTCCAGTCAACAGTATATTACATAATGATAACATCTGGTTCAACGTGTCATTAGTATCAGTCTCATTAACCATGTCTAACTTTCTATAGCAGTGAGTTGTGGAATTTGTCTGTATGTCTACTGAGTAATGTCAGCAGTTCAATTGGAGTTTGATGTCTGTCATTTCGATATAATGTCTCTATAAAAGATAGAGTCATTGGTAGAGTGACTGAACCCATTCTAACTTTCACTTCACCTAACCTAACCTAATCTAACCTAACCTAACCTGACCTGACCTAACCTAACCTAACCTAACCTAACCTAACCATAAATCAATAGGGCTCACCACATGTCTATATAGATAATACGTGTGAAGTTTGGTTAAAATCCGTGAGGAAGAACTTAAGTTAATACGTGGACAGTACAGTAC